CTGCCCTCTCCAAGTGAAATAGATAAATATATTAGGATTCCTCAAATTAAGTTTTAGATCCCTACAAAACTGTATAAGTATCATTCTTTATTAAGATGCATAAGAACTAATATCTGTTCTTGAGATTTTCTTTTCTCAGCACCATTCCCAGTAATCACAAAATGGCTGCTGCACTGCATCAGCTGATGATCACCTCTGCTTTCTGGAACCGCTTTCCCGAAACTGCGTTCCATGGAGACCTACCTTTAATCCACCCCTGAATAGGAACTGCACTAGACCCACCTTTAATCCACCCCTGAATAGGAACTGCACTAGACCCACCTTTAATCCACCCCTGAACAGGAATTGCACTAGACCCACCCTTAATCCGGCCCTGAATAGAATCTATGTTCTTTATTGATAAAAACTTTATAAGCTGTTAATTGAAACACTAGCCCCTCTCCCATTTACCTGTATGTAACACATTCTCAATAAAAAGGCACGATGATTCCTAGCAGTTGTCACTCCTCAGAGGGCCACCTCTGAGGGGTGTCCGGCATAGGACGTGCATGAGAAAGCATTGAGGCCTCTGTCTTCTATCACCTTCGCAGCCTTCGTCGAGATAACCCACCCAGGCCGAGGCTGGACCCCGGCACTCTAGGACACCTAGCACCTCCACATCCACCTAGACCTCGCCTCCAGCTGCCAGGCGGGCCCTGTCTGTGACGATGATCCATTATCTGCCTCCTCCCGCTGGAGAAGGGCTGTCCTCTCCTCTGTCTGCAGGACTCCAAGCTTCCTGGAGGTAACCCTCCCCCCATTCCTGGTCACGTGGTTGGAAGGGGATGGACCCTGACCCCCTCCCAGCACATCAGTGTTTGCACGTCTTGTGGGCCCACATAAAGGTTCGGGATGGTCCCAATCCTACTGGGAGGGCCCAGGAGACCTAAATTGGACGCAGGTTTCAGCTTTACCCTTTAACCGGGAGTTAAACCTGAAGACACGTTTCCCCAGAATCTACTCCAAACATCTCTGGACCTTATCAAAGGCCATCACCACCCAGGGAATGGAAGCACCCATACAGAAAACAGGTCCCAGTCACATTGAACTCCTGGATCAAGCCCTGCCTGACACCCACCCTACTGTCAACACTTCAGTGACATGAGCTAGTCATTCCATTTGATTGAAATAGAGGTTTGTTCGTTTGTTTGTTTGCACCACTGACAACCAAAGGGAGCCTGCTGGGATCCTGCAGTGTTCAGAAAGGTATCTTTCCTGGTCCAGAGACCACAAAGCCCCACGTACTCCCAGGAGCCAGGAAGTGGACAGGGCAGGATGCCACCTACCGTGACTGCTGCGGTGCCCCGCTGAGTCCTGAAGTTTGTAGAGCCCCCTGAGCTCAGGCTGGGGTGAGGAGCAGGCCCGGGAGTTGATCCGGGGTACACGGGGTGGGGGGCCTGGATGTGGCAGGCAGGCAGGTGGGAGGCCGCAGAGCCCACAGACTCAAGGCAACCACGACATGGCCGCAGGGTCCCTAGAACAGAGGAGAAACAGGCGTGAGCAGGAGGTTCATGTGGGGACGGGGGCACGTGGGGATGGGGGGCAGGGCAGTCGGGGGTGCACCTCGGCTATGGGACATTGAGACCACCACGGTGCCTCCACTTCATCATCCTGTACCCCATTTCCCCCGTACTGCCACCCCAGAGCCCCAGGCTGCTGACCAGCACGGCCGGCAGTGACAGCTGCAGGCTGACAGCGCCCTGGGCCCGGGCCGTCCAGGATGCAGCCACCAGCCACCCAGGGAAGGCAACTCATAGACAGCGCCTGCGGATGGTGTGGCCGAGAAACCGGTGCGTGGTGTCATCCTCCTCGCACCGATTTATATGGCCGCCGGGGGCTAGTGGCCACCGTATCAGACAGCACAGCTCTGGACCAACCTTCTGGCCATGTGCGTGGAAAAAAATGAGGTCCAGAGAGGGGAAGGGATCGACCCAAGGACACACAGCGGGAGAGTGGCAAAGGCGAAGCCAGAACCTGGCCCCTCCGCCTCCCAGCCCTAGCGCTCTGCTTTCCCATAATGCTCAGCACCGCAGCCCAAGCACCCTGCTGTCTGCTCCCCATGCTGCCGCCCCTGGGGAGGTACCAAGCCACCCTGGAAGAGACCCAGTTCTCCTGTCACACGATCCCCGGACAAGGCAGGCTCCACTCACGTCCCTGAGACCGGAAGCCTTTGGGCACACAGCCGGTCTGGGCAGAAGGGCCCTAGGCGCTGCTCAACACCCTCCGAAAGGGGCAGGTGACCGTGGCTCTGCACCGTGGAAGAGTACGCGGCCACAAGACCAGCAATACAGAGGTCACGAGAGGTGTGGAGCCGTGACTCCCAACGCTGGGCGGGGGAACCGAGGAGGGGCTGGGCTGCCGCAGTGCCAGGCCCCTGTGCTCCCGGAGCCCACCCCAGCTGTTACCCCCATGCGCAGGGCGGCACCGTGGGGCCCGGGCTATGTCCCAACAGTAGAGATGGAAGAGTCAGGGTGCTCTGGTGATGTGGGCAGAAAGGGCCGACAGAGACAGCCGGGGCTCGAACCCTCACTTCTGACTGTAAGGACTGGCCTCCGCAGCGGACTGGGACCACAATGGCAGTGTTACGGACGCGCTTTCCCGTCAGCCGCTCCGCCTTATTGAGCACACGCTCACAGGAGCACTGAGTCAGGCCCCCCAGCACCTCCCAGTGGCGACTCCCATCAGGGACGCATAGCCACGGAAGGCGCGATGTCACTGCTCTTCCTGTCCGATGAGGAAACGGAGGCATGGGGAGATTAAGGAGCCTGCCTCACGTTGAGGGCCACGTCCAGTTCCCAGGTGTTCCGTGACGTTCCCCCACCATCTCCAGGGGAGCAGGGCACAGGGGCAGGGGTGACAGCTGCTGCCCTGGGGTGTGGAAATAGGATCGTGCACTTGCCCCCTCGCTAACCTCATGGAAACTCTTGAAAGCAGTCAAAAGAACAAAGGTCAAGGAATAAAATCAACATGTCTAAGAAACCTTTTGAAAAATAAGCACATGGCGAAGAATGAAAATGGCAAATCGAAGGACGGAGGCTTCCGAGAGACCCAGACTATGATCGTAATCCGCCTCCCGGCAGCACAGCTTCCATCTCGGGGTTTTCTGCCAACTTCCGGACCTGGGGCTGCCTCCTCCTGCTGGGTGAGCGCCTCAGCTCAGAGGCGGCAGGCACGGCTGCCCTGTGGGCAGGCAAATGTTCATACGCGCCTCCCGGCTCCCTGGCACAGCGGGGCTGGCAGGCAGGGGCTGTGGCCAGGGCCGACCTCAGGAGGCCAGGGCATCCGGGCCTCTGCTTCCGGCCCCAGGCAGCCCGTTCTGCAGGTGGAACCACCAAGTCCCGAGAGGTCAGAAACCTCCCCATAGGTCGCACTGCTACTGAACAGGAAGCATGTGTGCTCATGCACGTGTGTGCGTGCCCACGGCCCATCCACACACACGTCTCCCACGCAAGCAGTGCTTCAGGCCTAGGCCCCGCAGGCCTGTCACTGAAAGAACAGGGGTTCCCAGCTTACACACACGTACACGCACAGCACCGTGACCCCACTGACTGCTATGGGAACCACAGACATGTGACCTGCCATTTCTGCTTTACGTGTTCCTGTGTCACGTGTCATTCACTCATCAGCTACTCACCGACCACTTACTACATGCTAGTGCATTAGAGGTGCTGACGAGCTCCTGAGAGCCAACACGGAGGAGCCCGCTGCCCTCCCGGGGACAGGGCGCACTTGTCAAGCAGGCTGACGACCAAGACATACCTTCCGGAGCCGCGGGTCGAGGTCTGTGGGCTCAACTGACCACAGTATTTCTTTAAAAAACCCAGAACAGGGCCAGCTGGTGGTGTGGTGGTGGAAGCAGCCGGGCCCCACATCGCCGACGACACGCATGAGTCCTGACCCGGGCTCGAGAAACACACCTGGTGCATGTGCGTGCATGCGCGTGCGTGTCCGAAATCCCAAGAGGAGGGTGGAATGGAGGAGAAGGGACTGTGGCACGGCCACTCCCCCAGGTGTGCTTTCTCACTTTCCTTCTGTCTCTCCAGTGAAGATGGACGCCCTCTGGCAAACTAAACAACGACACTACACAAGGACGATACAACTAAAAAAATCCAGGTACTAAAGCCAGCAAAACAGTAGTGTGAAGTAACCGCGCGGATGTGGCATTCCCACTGGGCGGGATCGGAATGAATCTACAGGTGGCTTACTGCACAGGAAGGGTGGTGTAGACGGCACACCAGGACCGCCTATTCTGTGTGAGGGCTAGGGTGACCGGCCCCCACCCCAACACCAAGGGACAACTGCAAAACGTCACCTTGATAATAAAACCTAGCACTCCCACCGAGTACTTGGTGGGCGGGAGGGCTTTCTAAAGGGCCGCGTCTGAATTTACACTGGAGCGCGGCAGGTGAGCTGGGCCCGAGGTGCGGGGCAGGGAAGGAGTCATCCTGCACCCCAGACATGTACCGCTTTTGTGGCCAGTCTCACCCCCCTCCCCTGAATTAAAAGTAGCCATTGGAAAAGAACAAGCTGATGAACAGTCGGGAGCTTCCCTCCCCTGGGCTGCATCCTTCTTCCCAAGTCCTCGCTCTGTCCCTGGGCTCGTGCGGGCACCAGGAGGGCATGGCCACCTCGTGTGGCTGGCTCGCCCCGGGCCTGCAGTCTCCTGGCTCCTGGGGTTCGTGCAGGCTCCAAAGGCCACAGCTCCATGGCCCCTCTGCATAGCTGTCCTCGGGGCTGCTCACAGGACTGGGGGTCACTCCCTCTCATCCACTTTGGCCCATTCATAGGGCAAGTACAGGGGACACCCTCCCTATGTGACCCCTCCCAGGCTGGATCTATCTTTGAGGCTCCATTCTGGTCTCTGCCGAAAGTGTTCTTCCTGGTAGAGCCAAGGCCCAGACCTGCCGAGGCCTGTGAGTAGCTCCGAGAGCCACACCAGGCCTCCCCTACCAGCCGACAGGGACAGGATGGGCCACACACAGCCTGGGCAGGGGAGAGCGCAGAGGGGCTGGCAGGTGTGCTCATGGCCCCAGCACAAGCCTCAGAGGCTGTTCTGGTGGAACCCGAGAGACGGTCTAGCAAGGAGCCCAGGGGCTGAGGCAGGGGTGTGGTGTCTGGGGAAGCATGAGTGTGGGGTTCGCCCAGCCTGGGTCTGAATCCGGCTCTGCCCTTGCCCCCAGAGCAGGCCCGGCTCTCCCATCTGCACAGTACCAATCACAGTCCGCCCCTCTCGAAGCTGTGATGACTTAGAGAAATGGTGAACGCCAAGAACTGGCCTTCGTAAATGCCAGCACCCTCGCCCTCTGGTTAAAAAGCCCGTTTAGGGTGCGAGGGTGAGACGCAATGCTCTTCCCCTGTAGGAAGGTTCCGGGTTCATGCCCAGAGACCTTTCCTGGAAACGCTGGGTGCACGTGTGCCCGTGATCCGAGGCTGCGAGCCTGCTGGGGTGCTGTCCGTCTCTGTCTCTCTCTCTCACGCGTGTGCATGGAAGGAACACGTGAACTTTGTTAAAAAGCACACTTGGGCTTCGACTGGCGATGGTGTCCTTGGTGACAGCAGTTCTAGAGGGAGCGCCGCACAGAACCCGAGGAAGGGCACGGAGAGGCAAGTGGCCCGCAGGGCCGCCCCGGAGCCTCGTGGAAGAGCCCCGTGGAGGAGCCCCGTGGGCGGAGGACAATGACGTGGACTCCGGCCAGGCATGAGCAAAGCCTCATGGCGTCCTTGAGGGCGGGTCGGAAACCACAGCTGGGTCGCTCCGTGGTCTGAGGAGTGGGGGTGCAGGTCCCCTGGGAGGATCGTCACCGGCCTTGGCAGGTCTGGTCCTTGGCTCTACCAGAAACAACGCTTTCGGCAAAGACTAGAATGGGAGCCTTGAACATGGATCCAGCCTCTGGGAGGGGTCCCCCATGCCGGCCCTGCGAACGGGCCAGAGTGGATGACAGGGGTCGGCCCCAGCCCTGTGAGCACTCACAGAACAGACACCCAGAAAGGCTGGGAGCTGTGGCCTCAAGCCCGTGCCAACAGCCTGGAGGCCAGGAGACCACAGGCCTGGAGTGAGCCGGCCACTTCAGCTTTAACCAATGTGCCGGTCCAGAGATCCAGAACAAAGTGGGGTGTGCTAGAGGGTCCTCATCAGGAAGAGGACCCCATGTCTCCCCGAGAAGCCTCAGAGGCTTGGTCAGGGCTTCAGGTCCCTGACAGAGACATGGCATTTATGGGTCTAGAGAACAGAGCAAGACCCAGAGAGAAAGACGCCAGAGAGCTCTCTGCTCAGGCTGAGCAGCAGTGAACATCCCGTCCCCGGAGGCATGCAAGCAAAGGCCGGGGGTCACGCACGTTTAATGGAGATTTTCCGCTTCCTGCTGTGAGTTTCTTTATGCCCAGGATAATACTTATTATTAGTTACATTGTAACTGTTGTAACTGTTATTATATAGTTACAT